GTGGTTTTCGTGTAGCTCCTGACCTGCCCTCCAAAGCAGCCTGTCAGTCGGAAAAATGCTTGTGGAGATGCGATTGCTCTAAAACCGTAAACGCAGTATTGCCTGCATAATTTACAGGTGCCAAACTGAACTTATTAAATCTGTCTTAATTGCTTAAATAGTTGGAAGCGCTGCATTTTTCACCGGATTAAACGGCCGGTTCCCGTGTTGCTGCAGGTCACATTCACCTCTTCGGTGACCTCTCGGACAGGGAAAGCCCACGCGAAGAAAAAGAGCGCTCACTGTTTGAGTGTGCATGAGGTGGATGAAATAGTTACAGAAAAAATTTAGTAAGTGTTGGATATTGTCTGTTTCGGTTTGTCTCCTGTATACTCAATCATTACTCAATTTGATATCCACCAACTTCTGTTAAGTGTTCCCTGCATATTGCTCGCTAATTTAATGGTGTGGGCAGATAGTTAAGTGTAAATTTTGAATAGTTTTGCCTACAGCGATTTTCAGTTGTCTAATACTGGAATGTGTTTATTTTAACCTGAGCATTCTTTCTCCTACTTTATCAGCAGTCTTTCTTTATTCCTACACAGCCCTTATCACAGAAGTATTTATTTATAATTCTTTCTTTGCAGGCGAATATCCCGCACAGAAAGTCAGATCGAATAATATGCGCATGCTGATTACTAGAGGAGAGGCTGAAGGACATCCTGTTTTGATTTAGCAGTGGTGGTGTTCTTTGGGGTGAAATGAAGAATTTGATTCTGTTTTGGAAATATTCAGACTTGTAATGCAACTGAAATTCAGTAGCCTGATTGCAGTACAGATCTGAACAAATGACTTTTTCTTAAAGATGCAGAACCTGTCACTAGTGGAAAGTCTTACTAATACAGACACATCACACTGGACGTCTCTAAAAGACGTAGCAGTGGAAGTAGGTGGTGTGTCGCTCAGTGAGAGTGAGTGTAACTCGAACGAAAGGACAAATAGTGAAGGAACCATCAATCTGGAAGTGCAGCAAAGCCTCCCTGCAGCGAATAGCCAAGGGAGAAGTTGTGAGGGGTTTTCTGAGAGCAGTTACAGCACCTCAGAACCCAGCGGCTGCTGGGGTGATTTTGAAGGCTTCAAGGAGTCCTTAGACAGGTCAGAGACATTCAGTCATAATCTTGAAGTTTTGGCGAAGTCAACAAAAACTTCCAGACTTGATTCGGACTTAAGCAGGGGACATTGCAGCACTTCTGCTGGTCGCTTTTCTGAGCTACCTCTACACAGTGGGGAACGGGAGGCTTCGAGCTCTCTGAATGAGGTATGTGTTAATAGTAAACCAAAGACCAGAAATGTTTGTGTTACTGCTTCCTACATCTCAAGATCTGTATCTGAATGTCTTCTCTATAGAGGGTAATGCTGTACAGGGAGAGAAACTGTCAAGCTACTTTGTAGCTAACTCAAGTGGAACAAAAGTGACTTCTTTACAGTATTTGACAAATACTTAAGTTATCCTGCTGGAGAGCTTTAAAGAATGTAATGCGCTACTTTGCTTCTAGACACTAGGAAAAAGTAAGCACGTAGAAACGATGAACCTTGCCCTGAGGCACACGCGATTTGAAAGCTAGCCAAGAATGAGCACAGGAAACAAAAAAATCGGGAAGGTGGGTAGCAAAAACAGAGTGGGCAAAAAGTCTGTGAGTTGCCTGCAAGCTTATTGAAGTAAACCAACATCACATTGAGTTAGAAATTGGCAAACCCAAAAACTTTTCTTATTCAATATACTGCCTGAATAATCCAACATCTGGAATTTTAGGCTGATTGTGGGTAGAAGTCAGTGACAAAAAAGAATAGAAATAATTTAATATCATTCATTTTTTAGCATAGGATGTTACATTCGCTCGTACAATGTTAGAACTAATAATCTGAATAAAAATCAGCACAAAAAAAGGTTCAGGTTAAGGGTTATACCTTGTTGCAATTAATGTGTTTCCATGTTTACCAAACATGCATCACCAAAGCGAAGCAAGGCAACAAAAGGAAAATAAGAATGTACAAATACGAAACAAAACGCCCTCATTCCTATGACTTTTATCCTAAATTAAAACAGTTGAAAAAAGAGAGCAATCGACTAAGACTTCCACGGTGTTAATCAGCAGCAGTAATAGCTTACTGCCTGTAGTCTGTTAGATGAGTTTCAGCATGTGTGGGGAACTGAGGGTTTTCTGGAGACAGGCTCTCTTGCCCTTGCCTGGGGACTTTACCTGTTGCAGAGGTGTTACTAGGGAAAGCACAAAGATGCACGGGGGGGGGTGAGTTGTCCAGCACTGATGGAGTGGAGATCACAAGATACCTGGTTATTGGTATGTATAAAAAGAGAAATTAAATTGTTCTTAATGCTGGAAATTGGGGACAAGAAGTCTTACGCTGAAAAAAGAGAGTATGTAATGACTGGAGCTGAAACAGAATATAGCAGATTGTTTTGTTTCTTTACAAAAGCAGTAGATCTTAATCTTACTGAAGCCTTTGCTTTATTTTTGCATTTATTAAAGGCAAAAGGAAATGTCCAGTATGAGCTAAATAAGTTAACCGTGCTAGAGTTTCAAGTTGTCTTTTCTTGTCTCAAGGTAGAGGAAGAGCTGCAGAGCTGTTGGAAGTTTCTTTGGGTGTAGAATATACGTGTAGCTTGTCCTTCATCCCTGTGCTTTTTGCATTGTTTGTTTGAAATCATAAACTCTTGAGGTTGGGGCTCTGTCTTCTGTACGGTCAATGGAAGGGACCTCTAGAGATCTCTGAGGTCAGAGGTCTGACCTTCAGTATCTAATGCTTCAGTTAATTAAACGATGTCAGTATGGAGCAGAATCATGTATTTTAAGATGAAAACAATCACTGGTTTCCTTGCAGTAACTGGATATTTTGCCTACGTGATTGAATAACTTTTAAGGATTTTTCATGTGTTCTTTAAATATTGGCCTTTGTGAGAGGGACTAGTGCACTTGCTTAAGCACTGAAGTATTCTGATATAATAGGATCTAGAGGATTTAGTCAAAAAGCACAGATGGGAAATTTGTGCATTCATATTTTCGTAATCAGTACAAAGCTACAAGGTAAATGGAAATATACCCAAATGTTGTTTTAGAAACACCCACTGAAGTAGACAGTAATAAAGGTAATAAAAAAAAAAAAAATCTTGCATTTTTCATCTGGCTTGGCTAAATGGTAAGCCAGGGACTTGTATGTGTGTCGGAGTAACATCACAGGCTCTAAGAAGATATTACAAATGAGGCAGACCTGTGCTTCCCTCAATTCACACTTCTGTGGCTGTAATTCTGCCCTCCCCGCCAAAATCCAGGAGCAGCTGCCTGACTTTTCTTTAGCTCCTGTCCCATTTAGGTTTTGGTACCTATTTGGAAGGTTTTTCTCTTTGACTTTGACTCTCCATGTATGCTTTGGCAAGTGTGCTTTCACAGAATTCTGTTTCTCAGACATCTTTCTCCTCCATATAGTATCCCTGTTGTAAGTTAAGTCTACTGAAATAATTTAAAAATTAAAGTATTATGACACTTCGGGCAAGATTCAAAGGATTTTACCCAGGAGTCTTTGAACGTCCCCGCAGTCACCCGTCAGGATAGGCAGTTTAGCAAGGCCTTACTTCAGGAGGGAGAGGTGTGGGGCACAAATTCTAGTTCTAGAAGGATGCTCAGAAGTACAGAAGCCTTCTACCAGCTCTGTTGATTTTGCCCACTCATGATTAGATTAAATCGTGCTCTCTCTAAATATTCACTGCATTCATCTGAGTTTCATGAAACTGTGGAAATATCTCAATTTTTTTCAGCTGCTTAAATTACAATTAAATGAGGCTGTCAAAATACGGAGTATCCATACTTATGTTTTTCAGATTAAATTGTTGATTGCTACGGAAAGAAAACAAGCTGACTGGTTTCATTCTCTAGTTTTCACACAGCATTGCTGCCCCTGGCTTGCAGTCCCTCTGCAGGGGGTTGAAGTCAACTAATTGCTTTGATTTAGAAAATTGCAGTAATTCCTTCTTTGAAGGAATAAAAGGAAAAAGCTTCTGAACCAGATGGCATGATAACATCCCTTTAGGATAGGATGTAAATTATGCACATTTTTCCTTGTATATGTATTTCTTAGTCTTCAGATAACCCTGTTACTGCCAGTAGGCCTGTTTGGATCACTCATTTGGCCCTGTTCAGCCCTCCAAACCCCCTTCTCATCACTGCTGGAGGAGGAACAAGTATATAAATCTGGCTCTGAGTTCTAACATGGGCTGGAACACGGTTGGTGCAAATGCAAGGATGTGGAGACATACTGACCCCAGCTTTTATGCGGACATACACAGTGCAAGTATTTATGAGTAACTATAGCATTTAGTAGTTATGTTACACTTGGCTGAATTAGGTGTGTTCGAATACTAAGTTAGCAAAACAAGCTTTTGAATTGATGTATACATCGGTTTTGACCTGGACTGAATTAGCTGAGCCGAAGAAGGAGTCTTGAGTTCTAATAGGCAAACCAACATGTAACTTGGTAGCTGGGAAGCTAGAGACTAGGGTTCATCAGAAACTCTTGGACTCATTTCTCCTCTAATTCTAGGTAAATACTCAAAACACTCAGCTATGGGCTCAGTCTGTCTGTGCCATTAATATTAATACAAATTTTAAAAACAATCAATAATACAGTCTCTAGAAACATTGTAGTCTTTGGACTAGGTGCTTCATGGACTGTGGGGATGGCCTGTATAACATATGTAATAAAACTCTGTCTTTTCTAGGCAAACCGCAGCTATGAGGATATATTTAAGTTGGGCTTTCCAGAAGTCTTTGTATCACAGTCCAGAGAGAGCATAAGAAGCTTAGATCAAGTACTTGATACAAATAATGAAGATATTGGGATTCCTGAACTTATGAAGAATCAGCACTGGTAATGAGTTTAGATCAACAGTTTTAAAAAAAAAAAAAATTTAAAAAGTCCTCAGCAATTACACTGTTTATTTCACAATGTAAAAATCAGTGGTACTTGCAGGTGACCTTAAAAATCTTTTTAATTACTATGCCCTTACCAATTTTGTATTGTGTTGTTAAAGGAAACGGATTGTGTTTTAGCCATTGAAAAACAAGGAAAGGAATATATCACAATTACAAATTCCTGCTTGGGGTTTTTCCTGCTCTTGGTGTGCCTTCTTATGACTAAGCCTTTGGAATGCCAGAACACCCAACAGGCAGCCTGCTCTTCCTGTTCGCTTGTCCTTTCTTTACAACACATCCAATTTATTTCTCCATCTTCTGAGGCAGGAGCATTGCTGCTGCTTCTACTGACAACCCACTCGCTCCCCCCCCCAGTTTTCCCAGGTGGTAGCTGCTTCTCATGTTTAACCAGATGTGCTTCAGAATCTGTGGTGCATCTGGCTTCTTTCCTGGGGTTATGTTAATAGCAATTAATATCATTAACTTAGCTTTCTCTTAAGACAGCTGAAACGCTTTTAGATTTGTTACATGTTTTTGAAGGATCAGCAGCTTCTGAGCAGTATTGCAGTTACTGAACAGTATTGTAGTTATTTTTGCATACATTTGAGGCTTTGTATATCTAGAAAGCTGGGTCAGACCATACTTTGGAAATGTCATAAGAATCACAAGAAATACAGTTAAAACATTTAATGTGGGCATATTTTCGGCAAGCTCCTTGTATATGCGTTATATTTTAATCAGCCTCAAACTTGTGGAGAAATGTATATATGTAAAAGGGACTGCAATATTATAGCAGAGTACCAACTACAGACAAAAAAGCCCTGATCTACTCTGGTGAAAAACTAAGATCAATGTTAATTGCATCAAGTACAAAGCAAAAAGCAACTAGATTTATATAGGATGAATGCAGTGTAAGAACCCAAAGTATTATGCAGAGGGAACTCTAATACTCACTGTTTCAGTAGTGTGTGCCTTTGGCTTGTTTTGTAGTACCTACATGTCCAGAGCAGATGCAGGTCACCCACCGGAGCAGCAGGCTGCTGCGGTGGAGGAGCATGAGTGACAGGAAGGAGAAAGGTTTGAGAGACGGAAAATGCAAAGTGCAGAATTAATAGGGCTGAACTCTGCCCACATTTCACAGAAGCAATTGAATCATCCGAGCTGTTGGCATATAACAATCTCTGAAATATGCTTCTAATGCACTTCTTATCTGAGAAGCCCAAACATACAGTTATGTTGACTTACCATTTCCGTTAATTGTCATGCAAGCTTATTAGTACATTGGGTTGATAGTTTGAACAAATGTAGAAATAGTTTTAAGTAAGTTGCTTTTTAGATCAAGGTAGGCTAGTACACGACTATATGCAGTGAGAATAACTAAATTATATACATCTTCTGGAAACTTTGTACACCTTATAACCTCAGACTGTGTTTTCTTTCCTAGCATTGATTCTGGAAACATATGGAGAACACTTAGAGACTTTGATAATACCCCCAGCTTAAGACATCCCTGGAGTAAATCTCATTGCCAAGAAAACCTCTTGAGTGTTCTTGGAATAGATGCAAACCAAAAGGTAATTGAACAACAGTTTGTTAGTATGCCAGTATAAACACTTGGTTATGAATCTGATTTTCTGTAAGCTACACATGCAGATGCATGAGGAACTAGATCTGGGTGAGCCATAGGGTTTTTTACAGAGAGACTTTTAAAATGAGAGTCCAGTGTTTTCTCATCATTATGTGTAACTAAGTATGAAGTTGTGTAGGATCAAATTTTGATTGGCTTTACATTGAAGTCTCTGTTACGTAGCACCCTGTTGCATTAGGTGATACATTCAGCTTTAGTATAGGTGTAGAATTAGCTTTCAGATGTGTGTACAATAAGATGGTTTTCTTTTTTGCACAGAGTATGAGAAAATTGTTAGCCTCTAATATCTTTCCACTAAGTGAAAATCAGATTTGAATCAGAGAGGCTGTTAAAGTAATTACTGGACGTTTTTACTGTATACGAACTGAAAGTGTGTTCCACTTCCCTTTTACTCAGATTATTCTATCTGTTTTTGCAAGGCTTGAGGGAGAGTATGTTTTAAACTGAATCGAGACCAAACCAACAGTAGAGATATCTCTTTTTGAGATCTTTCAATAATCTCTTGTTTTGAGAAGATAAAGGTATCAGAGATGGTTTAGTATTCAATCTGGTCATTTAGTTGGGGTGAGTTAGCCACATGTGGTTTTCAGTAGTAACTGTTTCAATTGATAATTTGATGGCTGAAGCATGGGGGGGTACTGCATTCAATTTTGATTTAATGGACATACTTGTTATATACAAGTTATATACAAGCAAAACGACAGCGCTGAAGGTATAGGACCTATTCTGCACTTCAAAGTTACTTTTATGGAACCATCACTTAAGAGGAGAGAATGGGAGACATTTCTCAAACATAGTTAAACTCCCCTTCTATTCCTTTCTTGCCCATAGATACACCGGCATTAAATCAATGCACAGGCAGCTTAACATCACTGCATCTTTTCTGTTACTGGAAGATTATATTGCTTTTAACAGTGCTGCCAATCATGTATTTCTCAGCTATTTTCTGGTGTACGTTAAGGTTAATTTTAATTGGAAATGGCTTTTTTGTTAATTTGTCACAGTTAGATTCATGTGTGTAGAACTTGTTTTGGCATAAAATTGTTTTAATGCAAGGGGGGCACATGATAAATCAAAATACAGCTTCAGAAAGTAAGATGTAGTGGTTATTGTTATTTGAGAGAAACTTCTCTTTAGGTTATATGCCTTCAGATCAGATAGAAATTCATAGAGAAAATGTAAATTATGTTTTACTAGGACTTTTCAGAGAGCCAGGATGACATTTTTGAGGAATCAAATGTTAAAGATAATGAGGACTTCAGATTTGATGGATTCAGTATTAATGACTGCAAAGAAGTGATCCAGACCAAGGTAAGAATTGCTCTGAAAGTCAGTACTTCAGAGAACCAGAGCATCTTTCACACATTCCTCTGTGCTGTAGCCAGCTGTTGAAACATGGGTTCTAATGTAGTGATTTGGTCCTGGTATGATTGTTTGGATGTGGAATTGTTTTTTGCTCTTTGAAACCTGTCTGACAGCTGTAGACAGGTACAGTATAACATACCAAATGCAAAGCAACGTAATATGGGGGATACTGAAATGTGAGGTTATTCATTACGTAAGCTGGATATTAGGCCAAATTACTTATTGGTTGGGAGACAGCAGTGATATATAGAATCTAGTCGGGATGCTCTGATGACAGAGAGATTAGTGTGTCTGTAGAAGGATCAACACTTTGATCACTGAGAATGGTGATTGTAACTCACTCCTAAAATACAAAGCTGGTGGAGAAGAAACTGCGTTCAGCCTTGCATTTCAGATACTCTTAATGATTCAGATTTGGTTTGTTCACTTGAGGAGAAAACAGGAGCTACTTAAGGAGGAAGGCAGAAGTGATGTTATAAGTACAAGGATTTGAGAACATTACTGGTTTTAAGCTGTGTTACAAAACATAGCAAGAAATGAAATTGAAATACTTTGTTGTTAGTCCATTTATGTCTTTGGTCAAACAGACCCTAATAGGCTGTAAGAACAGGCTTTATCAGTCTGTTTCTTTCTTGCTAAAGCAATGCAAGTTGGAAGGAAAATTCTGTCATTCCCCATTGCTTTAAAAAAAAAAAAATCAGTCATGTTCCATTTTTAACAAAGGATTTTGGGTGAATATTCTTAACACAAGGTCCCTTCCTCATCAGAGAATAAATTTGAGCAACTGTTGTTGCTCTGGAGATGCATAGCTTGAGGCACACTTTCATTGCTATGTTTTGTTCTATTTACTGCATTGGACACTGAAGGTGTGTACCGTTCTGGGAACCTTGTACATCAGAGCTGTTAGGCTGGAGAGTTCAGAAAGAAAACCAAAAGAGACTGTCCAGCTTATTCCTTCATAATTCAGTTCTGCTTTCTTCAATGAGTACATGAGGGTGGGATCACAGCAGCTGACACGTACTTGGAAATGTGTAAAATACAGGGACAGGGTTTAGGCAAAGGAGAGGTGGCTCAAGGTAGTTGAAGAAGGAGTAAAAGTAAAAAGAATCATGACACAAAGTTAAGGTAAATTGACAGTATTTTTCTGGAGTAGCTTCTGAAGGGAACGAACAAGCCCTGCAGCTTGATGTCTCAAAGTAAAGCTCATTAGGAAATGTGTGTTGCCATTTCTAATTTGTAAGTTAAATCATTCCATCTATCTTCCTAGTTATGTAATTATTTTTTTTTTTCTTATGCCAATTTTATTTTTAGGAAATTGTGTAAAAATAAGATCAAAATACACTAAGTGATTAACTTTCCATATAATGGAAAAAAATTAACCTAGTTTTTCTTTTTCACTCAGCTTTCTGTATCACCAGATCCCAGACATGGTCGTCTTTTCACCTGTAACCTCTTTTTGAAAACCACATTGTCAAATGGAAATATGCAATATATAACAATCCCAAGGAAGAAGCACATTTTTGCTACACACAACCTAAAACCGAAATTTTTCAGTAGTGATGTTTGTTGAATGAAATGCACTTTAAAATCTTTTTTTTTTCTGTTTTGAACTGAATGCAGTTTACCTTCATTTTGTTACTGGCTTGGTACTATAAGACTACATATGTTCTTTAGGAAAGTGACATATTATTACTGTATATGAAGTACCTAAAGCCACATTATTAGAAGATATTTATCCTATTTAGTTGTGAAGTCAAAGAGGTAATTTTGCCCTGCCAAGTTTTGCTGCAGAGTCGTGTCTCTTACAGTAAATCCAGCTGCACTCACACTTTAAAGATACTCTGGTGGACTGCTCTCCTGAACTACTGACCTTTCAGGTCTTAATGCCTCTTCGATCAAAAACCTTGTTTCCCTGCCGAAATCTGCACACACCTCAGGTGTGTTGTAAAGTGTGCCTTGTCGCTGTCTCTCCTCATATTCGGTCCAGTTTGGATCAGCTGAGATCTGTTACTTTGCCACTGCTGAACATCGTGAGGGGAGCCTTCCACATCTGGTGGCTTTCACTGGGGTTTAGGAAAATAAAACTGTTTTAACTTCTGTCTGATAAAGCCTACTGTGGTAATATGGGTAAAGCCAGTGAAACGTTTTGTTCTGGCATTGGTTTCTAACTGAAATAAATCACCTTTCTGAAGCTGATTGTAACAGGAATTCTTGGATTCATTCAGTTCCCAAGCACTCACACCACGCATAACCATGCTTGTTAAAAGCTTAACTGCGGTGTAGTTCAGGACTTGCACTGCACGGTGCTGTAAATTGCTGCCCTTTTAAAATTTTACAGTAACTATCAACTGTGTCATCCATCTCCAGCATGCCTGAGTGCCAGAGGGGATGCACTTCACTATGATTCGTATAATCCATGGCTCTTCATTGCCAGCTGCAGCAGCTTTATTTATTCATCTGTAATAACTTTTAAACAAGTTACTTATCTGTTTACTGCTTTGGCCATTCTGAATATGAGAATTTTATATGGCTTTTTATTTTACAGAGTTGGTAAGCACTGCAACTGACATCTTCTGCGTTAAGAGCAAGGAACAAACTTGGATATTCCCAAACTAAGTCAATTAATTTTTATTATGTGCCTATTCTGTTAGAATTAAGCATACTATAAAGCACTGGCAGACTCCAACCCTTAATCTAGTAAACTGTTCAGCAGTGAAATGACAATTGCTATAATAACTTGTTGCTGCAGTAATGTTTATGATGCCTCAGTGCCATTAGCATAGGATGACCTGTGCTTTGGTTACTCAGTAAATGGTAACAGACCATTTGGAAAAGCGCTGTGCGAAAGCAGCTCAGCAGCTTCCCTGGCCTGAGAGGGAGTTCTGCAGGGCCAGACTGGCATCTCCATGTGGATGCAAGAGCAGGGTTAACTTTTTCACTTAACACTGGTTTTGGATGCATTTTCAATTTCCCTTCTAAGTCTTCCAGAGCGCTTAAACATGGCTGAAATAGGTTGTAGTCATAAACTCACAAAGTAGTAAATTGCCAATAAATGATGAATGGATAGTTGAGGTTGGTAATAAACATTATTGAAATCAATTATAAGAATAAAATCCCATTTTTATGCTTTCAGACAAGCGGGGCCCTGCAGAGGGGCTTGAGGGGGCAATTTGTAATGTGTCTGACACCGGCTGGTGCACCAAATGCCAGAGCCCTCTGTTTTCTGGGCTTGCAAGTTTGCCTTTGCTTTGGCTAACATCAGATGCACGTACCAAAGAACATTTTGCACCGTTACCCCAGGAGAGGGGTGAATACATAATCTTTCCCTCATAGCAGCAGGTTTTACAGCCCTGTCCAAGGTACAGATTGGGGAAAAAATGGTTTCAGCCCTTTATGGCTCAGTGGGGAAAAAACTACTGGGGTTCCAAAGGTGACGGGCTCCACATTTCAGGCTTTTCTTTCTTGGACAGATGCTTTGGGGCACCCAAGCCCTTACTGCCCGTAAACATGGGCTGCACAGGAGAAGCGGAGGGACCCTTGACTCCTGTCTTCAGTCTGAGATGGGCAAGTTCACCTCGCCAAAGGAAAAGACTAGCAGATTTGAAATTACAAAGTAACTCAATTCAGCTTCAAGGTTGCGGAGCCCTGGCAGCCCTCATCAGAATTTGGACACAAACTGCACATTTGGGGGTATTCATAAAGAGAAAATTGCACTCTTTCTCTTCATTGACACGAGAGCGTGCTTGGGGAGACAAACCAAATTTCAGCTGACCATTTTCAGGCGTATTGCGTAGTATAAAGTAGCCTTGCCCTCTGTTGTTATCCTGGGAAACGAGGGGTGCCGGAAACCCCTCTGGTGTGTTTTGCACAAATACTGGCTATTCATTTCCTTTAGTCATTTCCTCGTTCCTGCCTTCCCCGGCACCCAGCCAAGCGTGGCGACAACCACTGCGCACCCGCTCCCCGAGTGCGCGGCTCTACTGAGGAGTAGCAGGTGTTTACTCTGTGAAAATGGTGCAGGGAGGAAATAAAACTTTGTATCTTAGTACGTTTTAAGCTGGAATTTCATCATTTCTCATCTTAGTTTGTGAGCTCTCAGCTGTGAAATACCGAGTTTTGATGAACTAAACATGTTACTGTACTCTGTGTTTGCGGAAAGCAAATACCATAGACTTGACATTTGCTTAGGATGTTGAAAAGGTGAAAACTAAAGCAAGGTAAGAGTTTCAGACAGCAGAGCTAGACAGAAATGCCTTTTTTTTTTTTTCCCACTGAGATTAGAGGGAAAATATACCCATAGAAAAAAGTTCAAATCAGCAGTAGAATTACTGAAATGTTTCCTTTGTAGAAGGAACACTGTAAACAGCTTTGCAACAAAAAGCACAACTACATTGTGAAAGACTGCAAAAAAATATTTCAATGCATATTTTGTTCAAAGGTAGAACGTAAGTAAAATTTTAGGGAACTTATTTCAGGAAACAATCCTTAAAATTAAGCAAAGTAGGAAGGCAAAGTTTGGGGAAATTTTGTTTTTCAAACAGCCCATTGCTACTATTTCTGGACTTCTTTTTTTGAAAGTCCAAATAATATGTAGAATTTGATTAACAAAAAAAAAACCAACCCTGAACCCCCAAAATGGGGGTGGGGGGGTGTGGTGTGGCATTCCAGACCCTAGGATGATTTCTAAGTATACTATAAGCCCATCATGCAGAAGACATGGAATAAAAAAACCAAACAAAAAGTATCTTGTAAAAGCTTAAAAGTTCTTTCCAAACTGCAGGGTCATTACAGGATTTAAAAGCACTCTCATCTTTTTAATAGTGAAGATCAGTTTTAAAAGTCCTCCCATTTTTTTAAGGAAGGACTTCCTGAAGTACTCCTCCTCCAGTTAAGGTGGCAGACGGATTTTGGCTACAACTGAGCTGCATTCAAATTAATTGTTAAACCCCAAACTTCTGTGTGGATCCAAGATTAACTCACCAGATCCACTCCAGATGATTCAAAGAAAACAAGCAACGCACCCAGCCAGCGGATGCAACAGGCTTGCAACAGTCGTGTCTAGCAGAATTCCTCTGTTCCTTCTACTGAAATACAGATCAGAAATTCTGAAATTGTCATCCCACAGCACAGCCTGGGTGCCAAAGCACAGCCAGTCTAGCTTAGCACTCTGCTGGGATAAATGGGTCCTAGTAAGGGAAAAATGTATGGAATGAAGTTACAACATTTTTTTTTCTTCTTTTTCAATCAAGGCAAGATGCCTGTGAATGCTGGGCAAATACTTAAATGCCAAAAATCTTCCAGCTTCCCTGAACATCTGCTTTAATAATACATACTTCTATAGACACACTTCTGCATCAGCTGGGTGGCCGAGCGCAGAGAATAGTGGTGAATGGAGTTAAATCCAGTTGGCGACCGGTCACG